TCCGCTGATGCTCCTCACCATACTTAGCTTCATTATTCCCCTCATCCTCCCTGCTCCCCCATCCCTCCGCACTCCTCCCCCATCACTCCTCCCTCTACAATTACTCAATATGAATACTACTCTCCCTCTTCCCCTGATGACGGTTTGAAAGTGTCCGACCCCCCCCCGCGTATTGTTTTCTTACACACAGGTTTCCCCGGAGTTGGATTTTCGCCTGCATGTTTTTTCAAAATGCTGCTCTCGCTGAGGCGCCGGCCTCATTTTCGGGCCCCGCTCGTTCCGAATCGTGCTCCCGCTGCAGCGCTGGCCTCATTTCCGTGCTTCCGCTCGTTCCGAATCGTGCTCCCGCTGCAGCGCTGGCCTCATTTCCGCGCTTCCGCTCGTTTCGACTCGTGCTCCCGCTGCAGCGCTGGCGTCATTTCCCGTGCCATGCCACGGCATGCAATGCAATGCTAGGTTGATACTACTTTTTGCGGTGCTCTTCTACGCCATGCCATGCAGTGCTCTACAATGCATCGCGTACCCTTTCGGGGTCATTGCCCTGCTCGACATCCGACTGTGCGAGTAGAGAGGGGATCTGCGCCATGGTAAGGGATGGGAGGGAGGGGTAGGATGTCAGATATGACGCGAGCGCATCTAGCTTGTCACCCGCCCTCTCCTCCCTCCTTGACGTCGTCGTCGTCGTCGCCGCCGTCGTCGTAGTCATCGCCGCCGTCGTCGCCGTAATCATGGTCGCAATGTCGTCGTCGTCGTCGTCGTACTCGTGGTCGTGGTCGTGGTCGTCGTCGTCGTCGTCGTCGTCGTCGTCGTCGTCGTCGTCGTCGTCGTCGTCGCTGTCTTCCCGAACTGCGCATTTCCGATCTGCCCCCTCGGCCTCTCGAGGAATGCCGCCGATGCCCGGCATGCCTCCCGGCATGCCGCCGATGCCCGGCATGCCGCCCGACATGGCGATGATGGCGAGCATGATGCCAGGCCCCCCCCCCAGCCAACACGACCATCTTAGGAGGAGGAGGAGGAGGAGGAAGCTGAGGGGAAGGAGGGAGGAGGAGGAGGGAGAGGAGGAGAAGGAGGAGGAGGAGGTCAGGAGCAACAATAGGGGCAGTTTCGAGTTACAGGTTCGATGCTTTTCGGGCGTTGACGTCTGGTCTCGGCGACTTTTTCCAGGCCTCGGCGAGGCTTTTCCCGGCGGCTGCCCCTCGCCGGGTGAACGTTGCGACGGTGCCCAGGTCGTCTCAAGTTGTGAACCGAAAACCAAACGACGAGGTTTTCTGCGGAGGCTCACTTTCCACTCGGAGTCTCTTCAGTTTCCTGCGATCGCCAACTTGCTTTATATTCATCTTGCGCACATAGGCCAGCCGCTCGGCGAATCGCAGGTAGCCCCCGTCCTGTCACAGGCCACAGCGGCTTTTCAACGGCTACTTCACGGAGGACGATAAGACCAGACGGCGCCTCAGGGCACCTGCCTAGGATCTTTGGGGAGGATGAGGAGGGGTCACGAGCGTATGTGCGGTCGCACGGATACGCTCCGCGGAGGAAATCCGCGAAAGAACGCCCACCGTATTCGCGGGGTCGCGAACAGGGGCCCAGCCCACGAGGCCGCGGATACTGATGGGTTTTTAGCCCACGGAGGGGGTTTGCCTCCCAAAACATCTTAAACACCCCCGCAGCACCTGTTCACGTAGAGTGACACACACACACACACACGCACACACAAACACACACACACACAAACACACACACACACACACACACACACACACACGCACACACACACGCACACACACACACACACGCATACACATGCACATACATACACACACACGCCGCACGCGCCGCAGGTGCGATATGACAGAATTCACGTCACAGCTTAGTGGATGATGGAAATTTCGATGGGGCTAATTGGTAATCTGCTCGAAATAAGGATCGTTGATTCTTACTTTCAAGGTCTCGGCAGCATGAACACAGCCCGTGCGCGATCGCGAAGAGACCGCGTCCGAGATGCGAGGGTGTTGGAAGAGCGCACCTACATGTTTTGAAAGCCTTCTCCAGCGCATTATCCACATCATCATCGTCGTCGTGGTCCTCCTCCTCGTCCTCCTCCGCCTCCTCCTCCTCCCCATCCCGCTCCTCCTCCTGCTCTTCCTTCTCCCTCGGTCTTGCAGGCGCTGGCAAGTCTATAGAAGACTTGCCCTGATGTCTCGCGCCCGCGCTGGCTGCTAGCAGCAAGTGGCGGGAACGATTGCCAGAAACCTCCTCCCTCCGTCCGCTTCTCTTCCTCCTTTTCCCCACTCGCCTACTTCTCGCCCTGTCGCCCCTCCTCCCCCCTCCCCCCCTCACTGCGCTCTCCGTTGGCAGGCATGTTCGACCCCTCCAAGGGCAAAGGGATGGGCATGCCGCCCATGATGATGAAGGGAAAGGGCATGCCCATGGGCAAAGGCATGGGGCCAGGCATGTTCGACCCAATGGGCAAGGGCATGCCTCCTCCGCCAATGGGCAAAGGGTCGCCCCCTTAGCCCGCTGCGCCGTCCCGGGAGGAGAAGGAGGAGGATGAGGACGACGACGGGGAAGAGGAGGACACGGGAGCACAAAGCAGGGGGGGCGATGATGCGGGGAGGCAGGAACGTGGAAGACAGAACGGGGAAAATGGAGGAGGTACGAATGACCGGGACTGAGACCAGGGATCAGGCAAGATGGAGGACGGAGGAGGGGAAGGAGGATACAGGAGGAGACGGAGGAGGAGGAGGAGGAGGAGCAGAGGGCACAAATGGAAGACGATGAAGAAGAAGAGGAGGATGAGGAGGCAGGAGGTGGAGGAAAAGGAAAAGGAGGAGGAGGAAGAGGAGGAGGAGGAAGGAGGAAGAGGAGGATGTCACAGGAGAAAAAAGACGACGAGGTTGAGCAGATGGGGAAGTTGTTTTGGCTGCGACGCACGATCGGTGGCCGCCGATCCAAGAAGCCCGATCGGGGACGCAGGGGGGTGTGGGGGGCGGGCGGGGGGGGGGAGGGGGGGGGGGCGATATCCCTTGGGGGTCGTCCCAGGGTCAGGCTGGTCATCGCTGCGCAATTCCGCTCGTTTGTGGTCGGCGGGCGAAAGATTGCACAACACAAATTCATCCGCCGCCCCTGCTGAGGCAGCGCTTGTCCCAGTGGAACGGGGAATTGTACGTATCATCTCCACTATCCTCGGCACCCTCCTCTTCCTTTTCGTCATCCTAGTATCCCTCCTCATTATCATCGTCATCCTTCTTCTGCGCTCCTTATGGACAACCTCCTGCTCCTGCTCCTCTTCCTCCCCCTCTTCCTAATGCACGTCCTCCTCATCCACCCCTTTTGCTCCTCCCCTCTCCCATCCTTCGTCTACTCCTTCGCCGTCTTAACATATTAATATAGAGGCGGTTCATAGAGAGTTGCCACACAACTGTACTACGGTGCCAGTCAGATCTGAGCCCTGGGAAAGCCGTGTGAGCCCGTTCGCATCAGCAGGAAACGTCAGGGGTATCTCAGTCGTGTCGAGCGAGATATCCCCCCGATGTACGCAGGCGCAATATGATACCGCACTGCGCTCGTTCCGAATCCGAGCCCGAGTGCCCCTCAGCCCTTGGCGGCGCTACGACAGCCGTTCCCCAGGGGGGGGGGGGGGGATCGCTGCGCCCCATGCCGCTTTCGCTTGGAGGACGCCCACTAACGTTTCAATGAGCATGTACATGACGTTTCAGAGGTTTAGCCGTACTGTTGCTTCCTTGTACAACTCATCCCCCACCTCCTCCTGATCCTTACCATCATCATCGTCATCGTCATCCGCACCACCAGCAGCATCATAATCATCACCATCACCATCACCATCACCATCACCATCACCATCACCATCACCATCACCATCACCATCACCATCACCATCACCATCACCATCCTCCTTCTCCTCCTCATCATCACCATCATCTTCAACATTATCATCAGCATCATCACTTATCCCTTCCTCTTCATCCTTATGTGTGTTTCTGAGCCTCCTGACCCTCCTCCACCCCAACTTCCTTTTCCTGAGCCTCATGCTGCTACATCTCTCACCTGCTACTGCTCATCCTCATCCTCATCCTCACCATCATTATCCGATTCGTCCGTTTCATCATCCTTCCTGGTTTCTTCATCCATCTCTTCATGTCCCTTACTCCTCGTCATTCGTACTCATCCTCGCCCTCCTGTTATTGCTCTCTCATCTCCAGTGTCTCTTCTTCTTCCTCCTCCCTCCGCCCCCTCCTCATCCTTCCATCCCCTCTCCATGCTCGCTCCTAGATTCCCCCTTCTCCCGCATCATACATTTGTAATGGCCTTCAACCCATCCTGCCACCGTGCCTGGGTTGTGGGTATGAAGCCGATCGGATGATCGTTGGGTTCTCGTGGAAACCTTGTCGGGGGCCTCTTGGATGCAGTTTGGACGCCGTGTGGGGGCCGTGAGGGGGCCTCTTGGGGCCTTTGTTGGGCCTCTTGGGGCCTCTTGGGGCCTCCTGTGCGCCTCGTGGGGCCTCCTGGGAGCCTCTTGGGGCGGAAGGCTCAAATTTTCGGTTCGTGTTCCCTCTTTGGGGGCCGTCTTGGGGCCGTTTTGGGCGCCTCTTGGGCTGTCTTGGGGCCATCTTGGGCCGCTTTGTGCCCTCTTGGCTTCGGCCGTCTTGGGGCAGTCTTGGGGGCCTCTTGGGCCGCCAGGGAGCGTCGGGAAGCCGAATCGTTCAAAAACTTATGGTGAGTCCATGATTTGGGCCTATTGGGGCCCTCTTGGGAGGCCTCTTGGAAGCGTCTTGGAGGCCTCTCGGGCCGTCCGGGGGCCATCTTCAGCGTCTTGGAGCGATCGTTCGGCGACCTGGGGCCTCCTTGGTTGGACCGTCTTGGGGGCCTCTTGGAGCCCTCTTGGCCCGTCTTGGGGCCTTGGGCCCGAAACGTCACGTGACAAGATGCGGGGGAAACTTTGGAAGATTTGGCCCGAAGCGGGACGCCCAAGAAGGTTTGGCCCGAGAGGCTGCGAACCCGTAAAGAACTCCCCAGGAGTGGCGTTTGAGGCTCAGAGGGGAAGTGGAAGGACCTGAGGACACGCCCACCCCGGGCCCAGCAGCACGGCGGCGTACATGTATATGTAGACACATGCTACACACATATATACATGTCTATATATATATATATATATATATATATATATATATATATATATATAGGTACATGTATGTTAGCAGTTTTAGACCCCAGCCAGTGTATTTCTAGCAATACGGATGCAGTCTATGTTGTGCACTCTTCGTGGTGCAATCTAGGCGGTGCAATCCAAGTGGTACAATATATGTTGTGCACCCTACGTGGTGCAACATATGTTGTGCAACCAACGTGGTGTAATCCAGGCAACGCAATTAAGTTCTGTTCGCAGTGAGTTGTCCACTCCACTGCTCGCGCAACCATCCCACCCACCCACCCGCAATTTGCTGTGCAAAACCCATGCGGCGGCGACTGTGGTGAGTGTTTGGAGTTGGCGGGTGCATCTCTGCGGCCGCGCTAGCCCGCGCATGCTCAGATGGGGCGGTATGCATTCACATTTCGGATGGATCATGAGGCAGAGTCACATGCAAAAAACACCACGAAGAGGTGGGCCGTTATCCCCCGGGGGGGTGGGGGAGGGGGAGGTTGATCCTCATCTTATGTTAAACAGGAGACCCTACGTGATGCAATCCAGTTCACGTTTACAAATGTGTTGACAAATCCCATGCTCTTGCAAACATCCCACCCACCCACCCGCAACCCGATTTGCACAACCCACGCGGTGGCGATTGCGATGAGTGCTCATTATTGGCTGGTGCATCTCTGCGGCCACGCTTGCCCGAGCATGCTCGCGCGCGCGCGCAGCGGCCAGCTAGTTTGGCGCGACCGACGCGGCCGCGGTGGCGCTGACCGCTGGGCACTTCCCAGCGGGCACTTCAGTGCGAGTCGGGGACTTGAGCGGTCGCGGTATCATGGCGACGCCGACAACGGTAGGCACGATTATGAGAGTAACGATGATGATGGAGAAGGTGGCGATGACGACGGCAAGGCCAGTGACGGCGCCGATGCCGATCACGCCGACGACGATGACGATGTCCTCGCGTCGGCGATGAGGGTTTTGAGGGAGTTCGACATGCGCGCGCGGCCGACGCTCGAGAGTGGCCCGCATGGTGTTATTTAGCACGGATCGTGCCCCCCCCCAGCACGCGCGCAAATCCGTTGGAATGATTTCGACGCGCGGCGCGCGGGGCCCGTTTGACCGAATGTAATGAACATGTTGGTAAATAGCGATGGTTTTCGTAAGCATTCGCAGGAGCGCGAGCGCATGCATAATTGACAACTGAGGTTGCAAAACCAGGTGTTCAATAGATTTCAGGAAAACTCTGCTTTGAAGCATGTATGATATTTCAATTGTTTTGAAAAACTCCGGCATGCACAATGTAGGAGCACTGTCGAACACCAATTTTTTTCATCCAGAATTCGCAAGAGCGCGGGCGCAGGCTAGGTTAAACAACCCTTGCTGCGAAACCAGTTGTTTGTATATATATATATATATATATATATATATATATATCGTTTCGGGGCTCTCGATTTTGAATTACTCGCGACGCTCATTGTGTTTGACTGATTTCGGAATTCGCGCGCGACGACGCGCGCGTACGCTTCGTTTGATATGTTGCAAGGGATATTCCCAAACTCGTATTTTAAATAAACGGCTGCGCGCATAGTTTCGGCCTGGCTGGGGCGGGGTGCATTCGCATTTCGGATGGACCATGAGGCAGAATCACATGCAAATGACACCACGAAGAGGTGGGCCGTCAGCCCCAGGGGGCGGGGGGGAGGTCGATCCTAATCGTATCTTAGACAGGAGAACCTACGCGACGCAACGCAATTCATTCTTACAAACGAGTTGACAAATCCTTTGCTCTGGCAAGCATCCCACCCACCCACCCGCAACTTGATTAGCACAACCCACGCGGTGGCGATTGCGATGAGTGCTCGGCGTTGGCCGGTGCATCTGCGGCCACGCTTGCCCGCGCATGCTCGCGCGCGCAGCGGCCAGCTAGTTTGGCGCGACCGACGCGGCCGCTGACCGCTGGGCACTTCCCAGCGGGCACTTCAGCGCGAGTCGGGGACGTGGGCGGGCGCGGTGCCGTGGCGACGCCGACGACGGTAGGCGCGATTATGAGAGCAACGATGATGGTGACGATGGTGGCGACGACGACGGCAAGGCCAGTGACGGCGCCGATGTTGATCACGCCCGCCTACGACGATGACGATGTCCTCGCGTCGGCGATGAAGGTTTTTTGGAGGTGTTCGACGCGCGCGCGCGCCGCCGACGCGCGCGAGTGGCCCGCCTGGTATTGTTCGACTCGCATCGTTCCCCCTCCCCCTCCCCCAGCACGCGTGCAAGGGCGTTCGAATGAGTTCGGCATGCGGCGCGAGAGGCCCGTTCGGCAGAATTTGATGAGCACGCGGGAGAACTCA